ATAGACTAGACTATAGACTAGACTATAGACTAGACTATAGACTAGACTATAGACTAGACTATAGACTAGACTATAGACTAGACTATAGACTAGACTATAGACTAGACTATAGACTAGACTATAGACTAGACTATAGACTAGACTATAGACTAGACTATAGACTAGACTATAGACTAGACTATAGACTATACTATAGACTAGACTATAGACTAGACTATAGACTAGACTATAGACTAGACTATAGACTAGACTATACTAGACTATAGACTAGACTATAGACTAGACTATAGACTAGACTATAGACTAGACTATAGACTAGACTATAGACTAGACTATAGACTAGACTATAGACTAGACTATAGAGTAGACTATAGACTAGACTATAGACTAGACTATAGACTAGACTATAGACTAGACTATAGACTAGACTATAGACTAGACTATAGACTAGACTATAGACTAGACTATAGACTAGACTATAGACTAGACTATAGACTAGACTATAGACTAGACTAGAATAGACTATAGACTAGACTATAGACTAGACTATAGACTAGACTATAGACTAGACTATAGACTAGACTATAGACTAGACTATAGACTAGACTATAGACTAGACTATAGACTAGACTATAGACTAGACTATAGACTAGACTATAGACTAGACTATAGACTAGACTATAGACTAGACTATAGACTAGACTATAGACTAGAATAGACTAGACTATAGACTAGACTATAGACTAGACTATAGACTAGACTATAGACTAGACTATAGACTAGACTATAGACTAGACTATAGACTAGACTATAGACTAGACTATAGACTAGACTATAGACTAGACTATAGACTAGACTATAGACTAGACTATAGACTAGACTATAGACTAGATAGACTAGACTATAGACTAGACTATAGACTAGACTATAGACTAGACTATAGACTAGACTATAGACTAGACTATAGACTAGACTATAGACTAGACTATAGACTAGACTATAGACTAGACTATAGACTAGACTATAGACTAGACTATAGACTAGACTATAGACTAGACAACAGACTAAAAATTTCCTAATTTCCCTCATTTCAAAAACATCAGATTTGAGGGAAAAACGTCAAATTAGCAACAGTGTCAATCACATTTTAGCTATTTAAATAAAACGTTTGTTATCATTTCCTATTATTTTATTATTGTGTTTGTTTTTGTTTTGATGTAAATATTTTAATTAAATTTTAATAATAAAATCGATATTTACCCCACCCAAGGGGTGGTTTTTAATTTGTTGTGGCAACAAAATGACAATGTTGTGTCATTTTATAAACAACAATTATCAACCGCACAAACATACTTATACTACATACGTAGTATCCAATTTAGGAGGGTGCCACGTATATTTCTTATTATGTTTTAAATAGTATTAACCAAATGAGAATTATTCTATGGTAATACTAGTGTATACAACTATATCAATAATCATGTTATTACTTCGAGATTAATAGTACTTAGTAGTTATTGAGTGTAAATTATTCTGTTAAAACAGACACTAACAAGTTTTATTTGCTATAAATAAACTCCTTAATGTTTATTATTTTTAGTACCATCCTAATTTCCATATGAAGTTTTTATTATTTTGGCAAAAGTTATTAATATTCATGTGTTTAAATGTTGTTCGTACGTGTTTCACAACATTTACTACAATCTGATTAACATCGTGTAGTTGGTTGGTATTCCTGTATTAATACTATGACTAGAACAAATCAATGATTTTGTTTTTCTCAGTCTGGATGAAAACTGCGAAGTATTTAATGTACTCGGTAAAAAAAAAACATGTTTATGTTATTATAAGAAAAGTTTATATTTTTAAACCTTTTATTACAGGCAGACGACTGCTGCCCTTCAAACATATTGAAGACAAAACTGTCAGAGATTTTTGCAGAAGCTACATCATAAACACTTCTGGAAAATAGTCAGACGATAGAACACATTTTACAAAAATAATATATATATGCTTTGGATAAAGATTGAAAGAATATAAACCTCTTACAAAGTTACGAAAAAGTTATTTTATTCACTTTTGGACGATAGTTAGAAGAGTCTATATATTTTACAAAAAAAATCATTGCATTAGAAGGTTTCTTGATTGCTTTTAAAAAGCTTTTGGGTATCTTATTGAAGTCACTTACATGTGTCTTTCAGCGCAAACGCTTGCGTTTGAAGATATATGTACTTCCTCTTTTAAATATGCCTGTGTGCATGTGTGTATGTGTATGCATGTGTTTGCTGGGTTAGTAGGACTTTCTTATGTAATCAGCTTAAAAAAAAAAACTATTAAATATAAAATTTTATGAATACCTACATAAGAATATTATCATTTTGGGAAAACAATTTCTTTTACCTTAAACACAGATGTGTGTCACACACATTTTTTGATTTTTTTTATATTGTTTTAACAAAAATTTAAAATTTTATTTAATATACATTTTAGAAATTTTGTGATTTTAAAGTACTTTTAAAGAATGGAACTTATTCAAAGCCAGAGCCCTGACTGGAGTATAGGGTTCAATTAAAGTTTCAATATTTTATATGAAATGCAACTGTGACGTAGTACATGGTGATAACCTAGAAATGGGTCAATTAATACGTTTTTAACATTTGGGTCAGGTTTGTATATCCTTCACTTTCGTGAAAAGCTTATATATTTATAATTTCTTTAAAATAATTTTCCGACCCTATAAGGTATATACATATAATCAGAGTCCTTATAGATAGCGGAGTCGATTAAGCTATATCCGTCTGTCCATCTGTATGTTTGTTGAAATCAATTTTCTAAAGACAAACTCTGAAAATTTCATCAAAAATTGAGATTTTTGGTGCATGCTCAGACAAAAATAATTAACAACAAAAACACACAGCATCATGCTATAAATGTTGTTTTTTTTTCGTTCTTCAAAAGGTACTAAATTATTGAACCTACAAACATAAAAGGGGGACATTTTGGTACTTTTTCGTTCTTCAAAAGGTGCTTTTGTGAAATTAAAGCATGTGGAGCCCGGAGTAAGTGAGAGCCTATAAAAATGGGACTTTTTCTTTCTTTAAAAGGTACATTTAGAATTTTCTATAAGCATGGAGAGTCCGGATTAAGTGAGATGCTATAAAAGGGGATTTTTTGGTACTTTTCCTTCTTAAAAAGGTATCTTTTGAATTTTCTACAATAAAATTAAACATTTAGAGTTCTAAGTGAATCAAAATCTATAGGAAAGGATTTTAAGTACTTTTTCGTTCTTTAACTGGTACTTTTTGGTTTTTATGCAATATTGAATCTAGAAACATATAATCAGACATATATCCTGATGTAATAAAAATTTTTTCGTACTTCAATTGGTACTTTTTGAATCTTTTTTAATATGAAACCTTAAACTATATAATTAAAATCTATATAACGGGACTTGCTGGTACTTTTTCGTTTTACAACTGTTAGTTTTTTGACTTTTTGTAAACTCACTATGGTGAAGAGTATATAAGATTCGGTACAGTCAAATATAGAACGTTTACTTGTTTTTAATACATAAGATTTGGCAAAGTTAACGGTTGAAATCAGGGATGGAAAATATTTATGATTGAAATACCAAATTTTTGGAAAAAAATATAAAAAACAAGTAAGAAAATATAGTTGGGTGTGGCCGACCGTATGATACCCTACACCAGTTATGAATATTAAATGTGATTTATTTTATTTATCTTTAATATAACCTTGTTTCCGATACATTTAAACGCATTTATGAACGAGAAACTAATTTTCTGATAGAGGGTTTTTATGGGGGCTAGGGGCAAATATGGACCGATCCCGATAAAATTTGGGGAATTTCGTGTCAAGTGATCCAACTTTGAAAATGGATGTCTTCTGATTTGGATGTAATTCACCAAGGTTAGTACTAGGGGATAGTAGTCCAGACACTCATTTTCAGCTCTATCGGTCAAGAGCTGCCAGAGTCAAAGGGGTTTAAATTTGGACATTGCTCTTAAAGGCAATGGTCTAAGCTTTCTTTTAAGCAAAAAAGTGCCCATTTTGAAAAAAAATTAAAAAAAAAATGTTTGGAAAAAATGTAGAAATAGCTATCTGAACGCCTTTGGACAATTTTTGCTCGGACCAATAGGTGAAAAGTTACACTCATTTGAATAAAACCCTGTATGACCAAAATGTCCAACTTTGACCCCCTCATGATCGATAGAGCTGAAAATTTATGTCTGACCTACTATCCAATAGTACTAACCTTGGGTCACTTGACATGAAATTCCCCATTTATATAATGTTTATTTGTGCTGAAATTCATCAGTAATATGTTTATGAAATTCAACACTAATATGTTTATATGTGAAATTGACATTCAAGTCATTTTCTGAAGAGGACTTTATATGGGATCTAGGGTTAAATGAGGTTCGATCTTTATAAAATTTGGTCAAGGTCATCAAGGCTTGTATAAAACTTATTTGTGCCGCTTTCTATCGAGATACAGGTATATTTAATATAATTATGATAAAATTTAATTAAATTATCTCGAAAATTGCGACCTGTAGCGTGCGCACAATGTTTACATGGACACACAGACGGGCAGACAGACGGATGGACATACGGACGGACATAGCTTAATCGACTCAGAAAGTGATTCCGAGCCGATTGATATACTTTAAGGTGGGGTGTAGGACCAATATTTTTGGGTGTTACAAACATCAGCACAAACGCATAATACCCTCCCCACTATAGTGGTGTAGGTTACAATAATATTTAGAAGTTAGTCACCTTCAAATTCAATCCATATGTTGATAAAATTAAAATGAATTACTACAAGTTAATAAAACAAATTTCTATTCATGAGAAATTTAATATTTTTATAAACCCTCCCTGCAGCAAATATCATAAATTCCGATAGATGTAAGTTTTCATTACAAACACTTCATTCAAATTGTATAGACTCTTAAACAGCAAATAATACTCACATCATATAATTCCACAAAATAATTTGTTTATTAATCTCATTACACACAGAATTGAAAATTAAAAGAAAATATTTATTTTAATTTTTTGAACAAATGTTTACAAACATACAAAAGTATTAAAGTATTCCTCATGCATTCATTCACTTCCACTTGTAAGAATTTATCTATTAATAAACCATATTTTGTATAATAACGTTTACGTCTATAAACAATATATATATTTTTTTAATTTTTCGTTTGTTTTTGCAACTGCACTGTGGTATTTAATTAATTCATTAGTTATAATTTTATTGTTGTTTTAATGTTAATTATACTAATAAGTTGGTTTTTGTTATAATTATTTATTTTTCACAATTAATATTTAAGCAAGTAAAGTGTAAGTAATTGGTTGGTATTTTCTTTTTAGGTCTGGCCAAGTAAATTGTTAATAAACGACTGAAACGCTGAACCACAAAAAAATTTAACAAAAGACTGTTTCATCTTTTGTGCTTCTGTATCCGTAGCGGTATCGAAATTCAATTCAAATAACAATATTCTTTATCAGTTCGTAATTCAATAATGAAATTGTATTTTTCTTTTTTGTCTTTGTATTTTGTTTCCTTTTTTTCGTTTGGTTGATTTTCTTTGCGGTTTGCCAAAAACAGAGGAGAATATATCCACAAACAAATAAACTCCACACACCACCAATATTGTAGCGGAAAAAATCAACACATACATAAGTACGTACATTTAACAATTTGCATTTGGTAGGAAAATTTCGGGTTTTGGTATTGAAAACAAAAATTGTAAATAGTACATTTTTTCTGTAGATAATAAAACTAGTCAATGGGAAAAGCAGTCAGTGTTGTCGTTTTAGCTAAAATGGAGTTTTCACTACCTTTTTATCTATTTGTGCCATGTTAAAAGATCACTCCCTAAAGCTGATCAGCTGAAGAACCAAAACTGATCATGAAGTAAGTCACTAATACCGAGCATATGGAAGACCGAATCCCGAAGAGATACGATTACTGATCTAAATCCGATCATGATGATCATGAGAATTATAACGAAAGATCAAGAAATATTAGGAAATCTTTGAAGAATTGCTATCACTTGCAGCTAATTCGAAAAGAATAGTTTCGTGAGGGTAAAGAAGATGTTATTCCATAGTAAACAGATCTTGCTGAAACCATAAACATAATGAACCAAAAAGTGCGAATAACATAACGCAAAAAGGTTTGAGGATCTACAACTTATAGAATCGAATTCCCTCAGAGAAACTGATGAAGAGTTTTTCAAATATAATGAATTTAATTTAATTGAATGATCACAATATTTATGAATTAGTTCTTGTCTATATAACACTTGATTGATCACTACACTCTTAATGAAATAATGGATGATAACTAATAGCTGAGAGATCCATACCTCGATATTGTAGGCATTAAACTGTGAATGAATGATAAGATGCTTTCATGAAGTCATAAATACTAATACCAAGCAAATGAATTATCCAATCCCGAAGAGCCCCGATCGTTGGCACAGGTTAGGAAGATGTATAGTACATCAAATCCGAAGAAATACTCCTATGATGTTTGTGGTTCTACCCACCGTTTCATTATTCCAAGATTCCTTATGGGATTCTCTCAGCCATATTTTTAATTCAGTTTTGTTGCGTCGAATGGTTTTGGATTCGTCAGGTTAACTACCTCGAGCTCCGTTCGCTTTAAAGCTATTACATTCGCCCTTTCGTTGTCGACTACTCCCGAGTAATAATGTAAACCTTACCTCTGGGAGAATATTCAGTTAAAGCTTTCTTACAATCCAATACGATCTTAGATTTAATTCTATCATCTTATATCTCCCGAATTGCCTTCTGGCAGTTGATAAATATATTAAGGGCTGTGGGCGCAATATTTATTTTAATCCAATTTACACATAAATAAATCATAATCATTTTGGCATAAATGATTCCTTAGAGAATTGGAGAAACTTCCGATCTCGACCTAACCCTGAAAACTATTATTTTCCGCTGTTAATGAAGGACAGAGAACCTCCCAACATTTAGAATATCTGTATCTGGTGTTTTCGGTAAACATTAATGAAGCACGATCACTTACCACGGATTCGAAAAAAAAAAATCGCAAGGCTAAAGAAGATGCTATTTCATAGTGAGCAGATCTTACTGAAACCATAAACATAATGCGATAAAAAGTGCGAATAACAGATTAACATTAGAACCCACCCAAAGAAGAGAGAATTTGGTGGATTTACGGAAAATCAAATGCTTCAAACAACAAGGCCTGAGAGTTACGATCAATGGATAAAGATCATATCGTGGAATTATGTTAGAAAGTCGGAAAGAAAGTTCAGCCTTCAAACATAGAATTCAGAAATTATCATCAGCGAAGCTAATATAAGTTCTCTTGAAGAGAGTGTTGAAAATTTGCAAATTTAAATTATAACTTAACTTAAAGAGAAAGAGAGAGAAATTCAAAGTAATTCAGTAAAGATTTGTTTTCTAATTTCTCTTGAATCGAACGCTATTACAGTCCCTGAAGAATGCACAAAACCATGATCGTTAAGCGGAATGTTAAAAGCTTCTAAAAGTGGATTAGTTTTTGTATAGAAAAAGAAAGAAAGATCGAAAAGCAAACCCGTTTTCTTTTTGTAAAGTAGATTTGAGTTGGGAATTTCGGAAATTGAGTACAATATTTCGAAGAAAGAATGTACTATTCTATACCAAGTATGTACAAATTCTTTAAAAGAGATAGAGAGATGGAGAGAGTACAAAGATCATCCTTTCGATTATTGAATTTTCACAAATTTGAATAATAACTTCTATTAGAGAGAGAGAAAGAGAGAGAGCATTATCCTTGAATAAAACGATAAAATAATGATCCTTCTGTGAAATAAGACAAAGATGAATCATAAGTTCCATTCAATAAAGAACGAATTCTCTTCAAAAAGAATGGGCCAAACAGTAGTACCTCTGTAGAGTATGCATTAGAATTCGGCAGTGTTGAGTTATAAGTTATCAGAAACAGGGAGACAGAGAGAGAGGGAGCATTATTCCTATGCAAGTTAAAATGCATATTGCAATAAAGAGGCTTATATTCTCTAAAGAACAGAGTTAAATTTGAAGTTCTATTGAAGAGAAAACAGGGAGGATTTCATGAAGTATTTGAAGATCATTTAATTGTATAACAAAGAGAGAGAGAGAGGTGGTTCCATCCTTAGTCAATAGATATAGAAGCGGATCCATCTTAACTGTTTGTGGAGGAAAATTTGCTTTTGTGTAGTAATGTTCCTTTCTTTTTGTAGAGATATGGTAGAAGAAATTACCTATTTCCTCCAACGTAGACCTCCACTGGCAACACTGGTCGCCTGAAATGAAACTTAAACAAAAAAACTAAAATTGTTTAGTTCCGACAACAAGTGCGTTGAACGTTTCGCCGTCATATTAATTTTTATGGAGGTACATATACATTCATACATATGTATATTGTAGGTGAATGTCGAACACGTTTATAAAAACAGAAATATTTGTATCATGTTTTGGCATTTTGTTTGTTGGTTTATTTTTCTTTTGCCGATTCGTTTATTATTTGTTTTGGCATTAACACAATTGATTTAGGTAACAGAATAAGAACAAAAAATTCTTCTTTAGAATATCTGAAAAGTGATCGTATTACAAAAATTTATTTTATTGTACGCATTTATTGGTGCGTTTTTATTATCTTGTCTAACAATATAAAAATGTTCTAAGTTAAACAACCAAAACAAATGGGTGGGCAGGTTGTTAGTTTGTTTGTTTAAGTTTTTCCACGAATTACAAAATTGTCTAAAAGTTAGCAATAATATAATAATTTTTTTATTTTAAATTTTCTCTTGACTGACAGGTTTTTCCTATAAATGTCAAAGAAAATCGTATAAACAAATTTACAAACCCTATTTTATGGTTGATGATAATTGGTTTAAAGGTTTTTTTTCTTCTTGTTATTCATATTTTTATGGGAAGTTGTCGTAAATAGCATAAAGAAAGAATATTCAAATTTATTTTTATTTTTACTTGTGCGAATTATTAAGATTGATAACGGTTTGTGATTGTCTGCTGAATATTTATTGATAATGTTATACAATTTTTACTTATTATTTATGCAAATAATTTACTACTGTTTGTGTATGAATGATGAATGTTAATTTAGGAAAGGTGTAATAATTAATTTATACGATTTAAGTCAATAATTTTATGACTTAATTTAAATGTTGATCACCTGTTATATACAAAAAGAGGATCGCTACATATAGAAATTTTTATTAAACAGCTAATTATTAATGATCTTTATTGCTAAGTGCTGTTCTTTAAACTCTTAAAATGATTTATTGATCTTTTTAATTTGACTTGGGAAGCAGATTATTTATAGATTTAATCAAAGGCAAGCTTATCACACACGTTGGAGTTGACCATACGCAGCAAACGTTTTTTGATAAAGATACAATTGGTGATCATACCAGCTTGACATAAAGCAGGATATGAGAGATCACATTTTCAAACAATGTATATATTACGACACAATGTAAGAAAATCAATGAAAAAATTCACTGCTGAAATGTAAAATTTTCGTTCCATTAATGTAGGATATATAATGAAGCAATGTCATTAAACCAATGACAACATTCATTGCATATATAATAAAGTTTCTTCACATCAAGGAAACATTTATTTTTCATATTATTATGGAAAAAGATTCATTAATATAATGAATCCCATTCTTTATGATGATATTTTACATTGTAAAACCGTGACGAGAAACGAGAGATTAAGTTATGATCCTTCTGGACAGATTTATTTTATCAATTCTCTTGGAGACTAATTCTCTAACATAAAGTCAAAACAATGATATTTCTTCGTTGAATGATGAAGGGTGATTTTTAGGTGTTGACTATTGAACTCTTGTGAAATTGACCGATGAAATTAACTGGGGAATTGGGTTAACGGTGATAGCTGGGAAAATTAATCTAACTAACTAACTAACTAACTAACTACTAACTAACTACTAACTAACTAACTAACTAACTAACTAACTAACTAACTAACTAACTAACTACTAACTAACTAACTAACTACTAACTAACTAACTAACTAACTAACTAACTAACTAACTAACTAACTAACTAACTAACTAACTAACTAACTAACTAACTAACTAACTAACTAACTAACTAACTAACTAACTAACTACTACTAACTAACTAACTAACTAACTAACTAACTAACTAACTACTAACTAACTAACTACTAACTAACTAACTACTAACTAACTAACTACTAACTAACTAACTAACTACTAACTAACTACTAACTAACTAACTAACTAACTAACTAACTAACTACTAACTACTAACTAACTAACTAACTAACTAACTAACTAA